GGGGTAGCATTTTAAAATATGAATTTGGGGGAGAAGCGAAGATTCAGTCACAACAGAATGAAGATCCCAGCAACCTCTCCCTCTGAGGTGAGACACGAACAGAAGAGTCCAGAAAGGACAGGCCCCAGAGATCCCTCTTTCTGAGTCAAGAAACAGAAGCCAGTCAAGGCCGATGGGCAACAAGATGCTCAAAGGGACCGACTTCACCTTTTGCAATAAGTGGATCTCGTGACCTTCACAGCCCATCTGTTACCCTGGCAGCTGTTCTTATTCCAGTGCCTTCTGCTTATCCAAGATGTATTTGCTGTACTTCACCTGCTGTTTTGCCTTTGGGATAAACATGTAATATAGCATAGGAGACATAGGTCAGGGCGCTTGCTTCTGCCCTTTCCTGCTGATGAGAAAGATCAGGAAAATAACTTCCTCCAACACTGCTGTGTCTGTGCCATAGTGTGGAACGTCATGGAACATCCCGCCAAGAGTCATTTTGTTTACTGTCCATTCACAGCATCCTTACTAGAATTAAGGTGACCACATTGTTCCTCATTTAAACCAAGACACTTTGGAGCATGAAAGGAAATATAAATGAAAACCGTGACAACACAAAAGAGGGAAATAAACAGAGGGTCTGAGGAGCCGAAGGTCTGTCACCCTAATTACACAGCAAATTCCATACGCTCAAGACCTTGGGTGTCATCTTTTTCACCCTGTGTCCTTCCTGTCCCAGCCCAGGGCACCACTAGGATGCTCCCTACATGCTTCCTGAGTGACGGCAGTTCCTCGCATAAGCACTGAATGGGCCGCAGGGGTTCAAATCTAGGTTTACCAATGCCTTACCATAAGTCCCTTGGACAACTGCCTTTGCCACCAGCAGCCTCAGTTTCCCCATTTGTCACACAACAATAGTAATAATAGCACCTAGTCCACACGGCTGTGTGAGAAATCAGGTGAGCTCCTCCACAGAAAAACAGGGACACAGCGTCCGGCACCCTGCCATATCGAGGGCTCAGAAAGGCCACCTCAACTTGTCAGCACAGAACGCCCATTATTGAAATGGGCCCCTGGGCTGGGCTAGGGAGCCCCGAGGACATCTCTCCCCTGGCATGGGGTAGCCCCTTTTTCCCTAATGGTCAAAAATGTGGGTCTGTTGCCCTCTGAGGTCAGCAGCCTGCTACCCATTCTACAGAGAAAGCAGATCCACACAAATGATATGAGGAGAGAGAGAGGGAGCAGAGGGTGCAAGGCCGGGGAGCCCCGAGAGCCCCGAGTGCTGGGTGTAGCTGCCCCTGAGGCCCCGCTGCTTCCCAGGGCAGCTGCTCAGCTGCCCCTTTGAGGTTCTGCATGCCAAGAACCCTTCTTATCCCAAACTCCTTCAAATGCCAAGTGTTACCCAAGGGTTCTGACAAGGGCAGTTGATGGGAAGAATCAACACACTAGTGTAACACTGAGATTTTTAAGTAAGGAATGATGAACAGGAGCCGATGGTAAATCTGCTCCACTCTCAGCCCCGCAGGGCTGAGCTTGCATCTTCTTGCTCGCTCCTTACAGCCACCTGGGCGAGCGGGTACCGGGCACCTGATTCATCCCCATTTTATGGATGAGAAAACTGAGGTCACGATCCCCAAGGGAACCTTTCCAAAGCCACACAGTTGGCTTGATGGGGGCCAGTGCAGGCTCCCTACAGCCTTTCCAGTGTGGTCGTCTCTGGTGAGTGTGAATGGCTGGCGCATCTGACAGGAACCGGCGGATCAGATGGGAGGAAACGGTCCCCATTCAGGGCTAGGCTTTCTGCCTCTCCTGCATGGCAGAACCAAAAGGAAGCTGGTTTTAAAATGGACAGAATGGTTTGATAAAACACGTTTGAGATGAGCTTCTGAGAAGCAGTAACTAAAGTTTCAGCAGTAACTAAAGTTTGGAAGCTGCCTGGCATACTTCTAACTCAGAAAGTATCCACTATCTATCTGGTCTTCAAATTTACCTGGGGGCCCTGTGTGTTTATTTGCTAAGAGTGGCACAAGGGCGAGAAGGTGAACGTGCGCCACCTCTGAACTTCCGGTTGCACCAGCTCCGTGATTCTCTTACTGCTGACACAGAAAGCCTGAGGCTTGCATCCCTGTGCCTTTGGTGTGTGGGGTAAGTCAGTGACCCCAGGCTGCACACCCAAGCTCACACCGTACCTCAATCCTCAAAAGCCCAAAGAGAAATGCCAGATTAGAGGCTACAAAGTCAGTGCTTAGGACACTGAACTCGCCTTCTGTTTAGAGGTGTAACAACGGCTTGACAGACTTACTGGGATTCATCAGATTCCCCTTGGTCAATGTAAATATTTTCTTATCAAGTCACGGAACGTGAACGCACTTAAACTGTAAAACTCCCTCATGAATACTAACAAATTGTAAAGTCATGGCAGAGATGACTGCTCACAGCTGCCAAAAATAAAAACAAAAAGCATCTCGCCATTCTGGATAAAGAATGCCTGTTTAAAATTTTCTAAGGTCTCAAAATTTATTAACAACAAATTTCCATGTAATGTTGTTTAGGAAAAAAAATCAATTAGCTCCACGGAAATATTTCAATTGAGATCAACTGTGGCGCATTATAAAGTAATCAAATAAAACAGGGAGTGTGGGAAAGAGCAGAACTGAGTGACAGAGTGGGTCACCCTGGACCTGTGTTTGCCATTTAAGGGCAAGACTACCGAGTGTGTGTGCACCTGGTGCATGTGTGGGTCAGTTTACTCAGCACCAACCATCTCAAGGTAATGAACTGAAGGCGGCTATACACAGTACCAGGTATACCACCAATAAATCAGAGTGCTGAGTTATCCATGCAGCCATCAGGGGACTGGTGTTCCCACTGCTGGACCAGCTCTGACGCTCTGCTGTGGTGAAGAGGTTCCCACATGTTAAGGATCACACGGCATTAACATCACCCCCTACGAGTGGGCTTCTTGAACCCTAAGATGCTGTGATAGGCACGCCGAGGCCATGTCAGATAGAACAACTGTGACGTGAAGGAGTGTTCAAATAGAGGCATCCGCTATAGCTTTATATATATTTGCATATATCTGCAACTGAATTAAAAGAAACTTGATTTATACTATTCATCCAGGATGCAATATTGTGAAAATGATATCCGTCCCCAAATTAATCTATACATTTAACAACAACAACAACAAAACCTAATCCAAATACCAGTACATGTGTTTGCTTGTTTGTGTTTTGATTTTTGGTAAGATCAGAGGAGGACTTGGTAACATGTCTCTAAGTTTCATCTGGAAAAAGTACCAACACTGGAAAAGAAACACTAAAGAGACTAGTCCAGAGCAGCTACTCAAAGTATTATAAAATGAAACCAGGGTGGGATAACTCAGTACAAACACAGGATCACCAGGAAGCCCAATGAGACAGAACAGGCAGTCCAAGAACAAGTCATGAGACATTCTCAAGGATAAAATCTCCCCCTGCCTTATGCGGGGGTAGGGGCGGTGGCTTAAAATGGCTTGTGTGTATGTTGCTAAAATGGTTTTTAAAAGTCTGAAGTGGCAAGCGTTCAGTAGTAGGACAGCACCCACCAGTGAACGAGAGCTTCAGTCTGGCTTTCAGAAAGGATTTCCCACAAGAACTGGAGTGAGATGCGGGTGTGAGCCCTCTTCCACCTTGTTAAACATCCCTGGGTTCCCGTCACGCCGTCCGTTCCCGTCACCCCGTCCGCTCCCGCAACAAGGTCACTAAATCTCTTTCCCACTCTGCCCCTGCCCAATGCGAAATGGTACTGAAAAATCAAACAGTTTCTCCATCCACTTTGGGTTCCCCAATCACACTGCTCCAGCCCCCATTACTGTAAAAACATCACTAGGAATAATCTAGTGGTCTAAAATCAGAAATCAGTCTTACCTGCTTCCTCTTTTCAGGGGGAAGTGATGGATCTCCATCCTAAGAAGAAACATGTGACATTGTATTTAGAAGAAAACAGAAGTGTTTAGATTCAAGGAACTTCAAGCTTGTATTCAGACCATCCCCACTCCTACCCACTGAACCCATAATGTGCCACACCAAGTTGTGAATATACTTAAAAAATTAACTATAAACTGAACCAGAGTTATTCTGGGAAACCCCTAAGGTGTCTGTTTCAATTAGGACCAAACCCATATATTTTCTAGAACTATGGGAATTTTAAAAATCCTGGATTTATCAGAATCATCTTTGAGCAGAGGTAAAACTGAAATAAAATTTCATTTGGCTTGAGTTTCTCTCTCAAATAAACAGGAATAGTAATAAACTCGTGCACACTCATGCTTGGGTTTTCTCCATGGGCAAAACAAGGTGAAGGGGGAGAGTGAAAGGGGGAGCAGACAGGGATAGGGTGTGCTCAAAATAGAAGAAAATTAACTGAGTACTCAGTTTTTTGTTTTTTGTTTGTTTGTTTGTTTTGAGTCAAAGGATTTAATTCCTCTCCCCTGTGGGTCGTCTGGGATAGCGTGCTAGTGAGTGAGTAAATGTGCAGTTTAACCAGGGCTCTTCTCTCTGATGCTGGCACAGACATCAACAGTATTTGCACCTGAGGGATCTTTCTACTCTATTTCTGTTCCAGGACAGTTCAATGATCCATGAACAGATGGCTTCATGTTAGCGATAGTGTCAGTGTTTAAAAAAAAAAAAAAAAGATTGTATCAGTGAGGGGAATAAAAGACTGCCGAAACAGCTCTATGCAGTTGGTATCCCCAGTTTAATTTGCACCCTGAAAAACCTTTCCATAGGAAAAGCTAGAATAAGACCTACATGGGTAGACCCCATTCCAGGATAGCAGAAAGGTTTACAAATTATGGAAATATTAATACACAACTATTGTTTTTGCAAAATAAGTACACTAGAGAGAGATCCAAAATAAAATGTTGCCTGCAATGAGGTTTTAGAGCAATATTCACACAGCTCTTTCCAACACAACACAAGCCCTCTTTTTAAAAAATTCCTTATAGATAAGTTGGTAAATGCAGCGTCACAGAAACAGATGCCTCGCGTGTGTGTTTCATAGCACGGAGCAAGCAGTACCAAACTATCACAACTCGCAAGTGGGAGCGAAACAGGGACAGCTTTCACTTGCTAACTGTTCCACTTAGGAACAGTTTGAATTTAAGCCCCGCCCCCACTGCCTCCGC